GGAATTAATAACACTATTGCAGCAATTTTTGCTCCACCTACTTTTGATAAATGACAAATTTTCAGAAAATAAATAGATACATACACAGTAAGAACACTCATGTCATTCTTAAGTTAACTAATTGGCAAATTCCTATTTATCAGAAGAAAATTAACAATAAAATCAGCCAATCTCGTACCACACAACGATGGGCTCCGGGGACAGCATAAACAAAGTGTAAAAAGCCCGAGACTTACACTGTAAAGTCTTATTATTAAACTATAAAGTCTTAAGAATAATGTCTAAATAAGTACATTTCATATTCCTCTTTCTTGAAGTGCTTCTCGCAAACATACAACGTCCCATTTTTGATTTGCCTTCGCAAATTTTCATCCACTACGCGGTCTTTTGTAATTATGTTGCTCCACGCTTCACGAGTTTTCGTTGATAATGCGTCTTTTCCTGAAGGGATCCGAAAAATTCCAACTCCAGCACTATTTCGACATGTACCACAGCCGATATGGAGCAATTCGCTCCCGGCATCGCGGAAAATTCAATGAAATTTAATGTTTTTAGGCTCTGTTTGGCTTAAACTCTTATACTATCGTATATGTAAACACCTCGAAGCATGCACTATAAGTTCCACGTGACCGAGAACAATAAGTTATTTTGTCACGTGACCCGGCCATCCAAACCCTCTCATTATATTAACTATGTTCTGTTCTAGGCATTTCTACCAGTGAATTATTCATTAAATGTGACACCAACGACATCATTAAATGCGGCAGGTACAAAACGCAGGTTGCAGGTTGCAGGTTGGAATTTTGCAGGTTGCAAATTTTGCAGGTTGGAATTTTGCAGGTTGCCAGGAACTTTGCAGGTTGATAATGCAAACTTAAAATTACACCACTTTTTTTAGTATTCTAGTATAATTTAGTTGTGCATTTATTGCAGTCTGACTCCTTGTGTTATTTTTCGAAATATTTTTTTAATTTCCGGAAAAAATATGATGTCCGAAAAATTTTTTTATATTTCCGGAATTTTTTTTTCATATTTAGGAAAATTGGATATATCCAGAAAAATTTTTTTTGGTATGTCCGGAAAAAATTTTTGAGACCTCCCCCCCCGCCGCCAACATTTCCGGGAAAAAATTTTTAGATGCCCTTTTTTATTCGGAAGGTGCCCCTCAAAGCCTGCCCCCCAACTTTTAGAAGCTTCCTACGCCCCTGGACGAATGTTTTGATTGTTGCGAGGTGCCTACATAATGTGACGGCGTTTATACTAGAATGTTGTTAAAAGTTAACTAACTCTCGAATGATACAGTAATTGGGGGCTTGAGTGGTCTCATAAGTGGGTGCAGAGGAGAGATACCTCATTCAGGCATTTTCTGAACTGCGACCACGTCATGTAGGCTCCTCGCAACAATCGAAACATTCGCCCCCCGGAAGATCCAAGCCAATCTGGTCATTTTGAATGTTTTCACAAGGGTGACGTGCAGAGGCTAGAAACATCGTAGCACGATAGGCTGATATCAAAAGCGGCCACAAGGAGTACACAATAAAATTATACTAGAATACTTTATAGTAGTCGTGGTATAAAGATTAATGCCCAGCATAACGTACACAAAAGAGCCATATAGACAATAATATACACATAAAATTTATTTAGAAGTACTAAAGACGAAACGTTAGTACTTCTAAATTTTTTTGTGTATATTATTGTCTATATGGCTCTTTTGCGTACGTTATACTGGGCATTAATCTTTATACTACGATTACGATTCCCGCCTGGTTCATCACTTGCAAGTACTTTATAGTAGCGTAATTTTCAGTTTGCATCATCAACCTGCAAAATTCCTGTCAACCTGCAAAATTCCCAACCTGTAAAATTCCAACCTGCAAAATTCCCAACCTGCAATATTTCAACCTGCAAAATTCCCAACCTGCAAAATTCCAACCTGCGTTTTGTACCTGCCGTCATTAAATGTGACAAATACAACAATGGGTGAATTATGCAGTGTGTCTGGTGATCCTGTTAAAAGATATTTTACAGCAGAATTTTGGGCACCAGTTCATTTCGAAAGGGCCAAGAAGAAGCCATAAGAACAATAATGAAAGGATAGATACTCTCCTTGTTATGCCTACTGGTGGAGGTAAAACTTTATGTTATGCCATTCCTGCTGTAATATCTAAAGGGATCACCATAGTTGTAACCCCATTATTGGCTTTAATGGATGACCAAGTATAGAGGTTAAAGCAAAAAATGTCTGTTTGCTACATTAACTCAATGATGCCAGAAGATGAGAAAGATACTGTTCTTGACTGTCTTTCTCAAAAAGATATCCCCTATGATATACTGTTCATTACTCCTGAAGCATTGCTTGCCCCTCAACTTCAAGCAATTGTGAAAAGAATGTCAGAGGCAGGGATATTATCAAGAATTGTGGATGAAGCCCATTGTGTGGACACATGGGGGAATGACTTCAGACCAAGTTATTCAAACCTTTTTATTTTTAAAATATTGATAGCCTAGAACTAGCTAATCCAACCATTTTGAGAATGTCTTTGGATAGACCAAATTTGGTTTTTGAACGTTTTAGAAAAAAAGGAAACAAAGTCTATGGAATATGTGTCTGAAATGGTTATTAACGAATTATGTGGATTATGTGGAATAGTATATTGTTTCTCAACACGCGATACCTCAGACATGGCGTATCACTTAAAACAAAGGGGAGTAAAAGCAGCTATTACCATGGACAGTTGGACTTGTTTGAACGGAATAATAAAGGACAGTCATAAAGTAAAAGGGGGAGCTGGGAAACATAGGGGGTGGGTCACTATTTTTGAGCATGGTTGAAGGGGTGGGTCATCGAAAGTTAAGCACAATCATAAGGGGGTGGGCCATCCAAAAATATGCAGACATTTTGTCAAGGGCATGTGTATTAAAATTCATACTATAAAAATAGAAATAAAATGTATCAAGATCCATGTGTAAAATTTATACTGCAAATGTTAACCTCAAATTTAAAAGCTGAATTCACTGTTTTAGTGTCTTTGGTAATCAGTGGCGGACACTAGGGGGGTTTCTATACTTAGCATGTGATTTATAACAAAACACACCATTAAAACAGTGTTATGAAAACCTAGTGTTTTACAAAATGTGTTCTCATTATTCTCAAAATGTGATCTCGGGATTAAAATTTTGAAATTTTTCTGTGCCTTCGGCATGAACCACCCCCTCCCAAAATTTGGTAAAGTGTCGGCCACTGTGGCTAATAGGTTAGTAATGGCTAACTAATTTTCTGATATTGTTAAATGTCATGAGCTTTGTCCAGGATGTTTATTATGTAACAAATGTAATGTGTAATTTCTATGAGAGTGCAGTTAAATCACAATTATCGTTAGCAGTTTGGTGTTAGCCGTAAATGTCAAACTAAAGTTCTCTAATTATGAGCTGAAAGATACTGCAGTATGCATGGGAAGTTCCATGCAAAGAAAGACCTTTCTGTATTTAATTCCACTATTTGAATAGCTATTGAGTATTCTAACACAGAATTATTTGGCAACAGAAAAATGGAACGCTTGTATCTTGCCATTCTGAAAGGGTGGGTCTAATTTTTCAGCACCAATTTAAGGGTGGGCTACAAATTTTCGAGCAGCTATTAAGGGGTGGGCTACCAAAATTGCAGGCATCAAATATATAATTTTCCCAGCCCACCCAGCCCACCCCCCCCCCTTTTAGTTTATGACCGGTCCCTTAACGTTTATTCTTTACATTACCAATTGTGTATAAGGCTATAATTCTATGTTTTAATAATGTTTTAATATCTTGTTTTAATATCACAGTTACATTTTAGAAGAAAAGTCATATTTCATTATTACAATTGAGATAATAAACCCAAGAAAATAGCCTACAGTAAATTGCATGTGGTTGTGATTATTTAATGCAAATGCACACAAAAATCGAAACAATTCTGGTTATAACTATTATTTTGTTAAATTTGCTGTGTTGGTGTAATGTACTCGGGTGAATAAGATGTTTCTGTGATGTTACTCTGAGTGTATATCCACACTGGGCAGGCTTGAAAAATATGCCTGGCTACGGTGGGATTCGAACCTACGACCTTTGGAATTCTAGCCCAATGCTCTGCCAACTGAGCTACGTGGTCAGGTCGGTTCTTGTATGCGATAATTCGGAACTGAGTCTAGTTCCTTCGATATCAGTGTGATCTAATAATCATGAAATTTGCTGTGTTGGTGTAATGTACTCAGGTGAATAAGAGATGTTTGTGTGATGTTACTTTGATTGTATATCCACACCGGGCAGGCTTGAAAAATATGCCTCGCCATGGTGGGATTCGAACCTACGACCTTTGGCATACTAGCCCAATGCTCTGCCAACTGAGCTACGCGGTCAGGTCGGTTCGTGTATGCAATATCGTGTTACGCATACACAAACCGACCTGACTGCGTAGCTCAGTTGGCAGAGCATTGGGCTAGTGTTCCAAAGGTCGTAGGTTCAAATCCCACCGTGGCCAGGCATATTTTTCAAGCCTGCCCGGTGTGGATATACACTCAGAGTAACATCACATAAACATATTATTTTGCTGCTCTACTCTAATAGACTGCTTGACAGACTGGACTTTTCAATCAGAATGCATCATATGTCACAAATGCATATTAAATATTAGCAATGGAAAGTGGAACTGAAGATCAACCACCAGCCAAAAGAATAAAAGTTCAGAAAAAACTGACAAGTTTTTTCTCAAGTGAAGCATTTAGACACTCGGAATCAGAAGATAAACAATCAAATGAGCCAGCGTTCATGACATATCTTGATAGTGGTAGCCAGCCTCAACTGAATTAAGCAGAGTGACACTATACTGGGACTACACCACTATTTTATAACAATATATTCATGGCATATTTGTGAAAATTGAAGTATTGGGTGCAGTATGTGTAGAAAAGTAAAGTCACTAGGTCTAGGAACTTCCACAATGAAAAATAGTCACATTAGTACTGAGTGGAGTGCATGTTCTGTACGTAGAGATGGCAAGAAGGCAGTAGTGCAGAAAGCACGCAAAATCCCAAGCACATATTGCTGTAGATGGCATTATAGCTGAAAAAGAAGAAGAAAAGGTTGAGATAGCATTACTCAAAAGTGTTGTGCACTCAAGAGAGTTAACAGAGAGATGCCATCGGACAACATATTTTATTGGGTACCAAACCGTTCATTCACCGATTATCCAGACATTCTCGCTCTTCAAAGCAGAAATGGAATAGAGTTAGGGTCAATTTTACATTCTAGGTACACTTGCACCACCTAAAGCTAGCTATCTCTGATGCAGTATTGTCAATTGATGGCTTCTAAACCGTACAAACTTTTTTTTACAAAATCTATTCTGTATATTCTTACTCATCTAAGTTACAATGCAAACTTAGTCAAATATCAATGGATCTTGATCTGCAGCTAAAAAAAATGGTAAAATTTTCACTGTTCGATGAATTGCATCATCCTGTAGAGTGATCAAATCTTTATGGAATGTTTACCTGGCTCTTTATTCGCATTTTAAGAAACTTTCAAGTCAATTAAATCTACTGTCCATGCAACGTACCAGGGTATTGTGAAGAAGCTCTCGACAAGAAAATTTGTTGAAGATGTGGCAATTGTTAAGGACTGTTTAGCCAAACTATCCTTGCTATCAGAAGCCTTACAATAACAGACAAGCTTAGTAGAAGAAAATAGACATCTGCAATGGACATAAAATGCACTGTTTCGATTTAAAGAATCAATTCAGGAAGAAAAGTACACATTCCAATCGACAACTGGAGATAATGCTGGATTTGAAGGGGTTTCCTTGGAAGCTTTCTCGTCAAGAAAAGGGTATGTGTCCTTCGATCAGAAGCAGTTTATCCAGGCATTAATCAATAACATCAATGCAAGGATGATCAACCCTAATAATGAGGCAGTGATAAAGCAATTGGAAGCATTGATTCTAGATAAGTGGAATATTCCAACGATCCTCAAACGACACCCAAGATTATTAACGAGAAACTAATACAAAGCATTTTTTATACGATTCCCATCAGTTCCTCCGAAGCAGAAAGAGGGTTCTCACAAATGAACCTTGTTTGCTCACCAACATGTTCCAAACTTACTGTTATGAACATGTCATATCACTTTTGTTTGTCAGTATAAATGGTACATACCCTTTTCAGACATTGTTTTTAATAAGAATTATTTTGAATGTTTCGCCCACAATTACTAGAAAACTCCCAACAAAATTCACAATTTCGAAAATATTATATTGTAAATACCCTCCCCCCGCCAATTCAAGATACTTTTGTAGAGCCCCCTTGTTAACATTCCAGGACTACACCACTGACACAAAAGGGACAGAAAGGACACTTATGGCAAAAGGACACTTATGTTACTAAAAAGACACTTATGTTACAAAAAGGGATGATATACAATGTTACAAAAAGGACGCTTACGTCACAAAAGGGAAGAATAAATGTTACAAAAAGGATGCTTATGTGTTACAAAAGGGAACAACCATTGTTACCAAAAGGACTCAATGTTACAAAAAGTAATGTCTGATGTTACAGAAAGGATACTATGTTAGAAAAGGGACATATGTTGTTCTTTTTGTAACATGAAATGTTACAAAAAGGATCCTCTAATGTTAGAATAAGGAACATCAATCTGATCGTTCATTTGTTCATTCACTTGTTCTTTCATTCATTCGTTCACTTGTTCATTCATTTGTTCTTAGATTAATCTCCTTGACTTTTGGTAATAGTTTTTCAATTGCACCCTTTCAATTTGGAATATAACAAATCGTTCCAGTAAGGCAATATATTGCAGTAAATGGGTTATATATAACACATTTTAGTGGCAAAAGATTGAGACACATATGTTGTGATATTTTTATGAAAAGTAGCGTATATTGCTACAAAAGGGAATTTTAACTGAGGAAAGCTCATTTTTTTGTCTTTTTTCACTGGACCAAGCAAGGGTATGAAGTTCTAACCACCCTTGTTTATTTGTGTATGTTTTAGAAGATTAATTGAAGAACTGATATAATGTAAAGAATACAAGGGAACAATCGACCTAAAGACTCCTCGTTTTCTAATTAGGTACATGATAATATTCAATAATAATAATTGGAAATTCACTGTTACAAATGTATGAGATTAGGGTTTTTTTCCGCTTTTTGAACTGTAGCATTTGATGGCATTGATGCCCCACCCTATTGACAATTCCTATTGACAGTAGACCAATCTAGTTTCCAGGCGAGAGAATGGGGTGAGCCAACGAAAATACATCATTATACATGCTTTTTTATGTGTGTTAAGTTTTAGTACTTTGTCTTTGACTTCCTTCTTTTTTATGTGAGACGATTTCTTGTGTTTGTTGACATTCTTTGGAGTAAACAGGAATTGAGGTAAGAATCTTATACTGGTAACTTAAAGGAGTTATTTTGTGTTTGTTTAGCGAAGTAAAACAAAAAACTGGAGTTCCTTTTTGGAGTAAATTATATATATATTTTTAACATTATTCAGGAGTAAAATTTACTGCAAAAAGAGTCGTTCTGTACCTTTTTTATTAACTCGAATTTTAATTTTACCTCGCAAAAAACTTTAATATAATACCCTTACTGCCTTGGTACTAACATAACTATGCTATTATCATTTGTGGATGAAAATTTTGAATGAAAACGATATAGTTTACACATTTTACCACAATTAAGTTTATGTATAATATTAGGGTGATGCCAGAAGAAGCCAAACACAGAACAGAGATATTTACTGTACTCATATACCATAATATATAATATACTAACACCACCTTAGCATATACATGAAGTTTCATGTAGTTTTTGGCAACTGTATTATGTTGCTCATTGATCCGAGCACTGCAGCAGAATTGCAAATTTGATTCCTACCGGAGTTACATTTTTTGTATTAATTACTCCCAGCTCAGTGTAACTATAGTATATTAGTAAAGTACACAGTTCTTGTTCAAAATTACCATCTACCGGGTGGCCCAAAAAAAAGTACTCCTGTTTGATTCGTAATAACATCTAAACAAGTATAGCTTTTAAAGAGAAATAACTTGCATCAAATAGAGGAAGGACTAACTTAGACTTTGATATATTACAGTTGTATTTCACTTAAAAATTCACGGAGATATTAATCTTTAAATTCGGGAGGATATTTCTGGATGTGTCTGAAATATGCAAAAATCGGCGTATCAAATATTAATCAAGATTTGCCCGACTGAAACATGCACTATTACCAGTAAATAAATGACACTTGACAAATTGTTTATTATGAAACAAAGTATTATTATATCTACAAAATACAAGCAAGATTCATTCGTCCGAAATTCGCGTGTGTTCCTAGCACGAATACGTTTCCTTATTTCATGAGACCACTGCATCGCGAAGGATCGTCATTGGATCGTTCGTAGTTCTGAATTAGGGCATGCTGTCACAACGGAATTGTGAAGCTCTTCTAACTTCTGCAACGTTCTGAAATCTTGTTAAGAACACCCAAACTCTTTTGCCGTTTCTTAATCTTGGCAAGTTCATGGAGTAAACTGAGAATTATATGAAACACAATCAAACCATACAACTCCATAAGACATAACAATTAAGCAACTCCCCAGAGACATGCAACATTTTTGGAACAAAACGTAACAAAATAGTAGCGTTGATACGGTGATGTGTATTTGCAAAAAGCAATATTATTTCCTTCAATAAAGAATATTCATCCTGCTCTAACCGAGAAATAATCTACTCAGTCTGTTTGAACCCATTAAAAACATAAAAAAATTAGGCTATTTAAGAATACGAAAAATTTAAGCGCCTGCCTTCCATGGTCAGTCTTTCATGTACATTTAAGTTTGCAAAGACCTAATATTAAATACTTGCATAATTTCGAACGTTCATATTTCAGGAAACAATGAGCTAAGACTTACATGTAAGATGTCTAAATCTACGCCATATCCCTTACAAACCTTAACGATAATTCGCTGAAATACAAGTTAGCCTAATATGTCATTAAGCAAACAAACGCTGGAGTTAATATTTGATATGCCGATTTTCGCTAATTTTAGACACATTCCAAAATATGCTCCCCATTTTTAACATTAATATCTCCGTGAATTTTTAAGTTAAATACAACTGTAATATATCAAAATCTAAGTTAGTCCTTCCTCTATTTAATGCAAGTTATTTCTCTTTAAAAACTTTACTTGTTTAGAAGTTATTACGAATCAAACAGGAGTACTTTTTTTTGGGCCACCCGGTACAAAAACCCTTTTACAATCTGTTCCTTTGGAGAATGATTACAAGTATAATATATAACTGCATATAGTACAGTACATCAAACCTGCCGTGTTGTGTCTGATTGACCCAGTTAGCTCAGTTGTGGAGCATTGGGCTTGTACACACAATGTTGCAGGTTCGAATCCTGGGTGACATCAACACAGCAACTGTCCTGTCTGTATATGAGTAGTAGTACTTTGGTGTGGTAAGCTCTAGTTAGGAATGGCATCCTCCTCAACAATGTATTTCTCAAGTCTGGAAATGATAGATACTCCTACCTAATTGTAGAGTTTTGACAGGCTCTGAGGTACACAGCTGGATGGATCAACTTTATTTAAAAACACACTAATCTTTTCAACAATATTAATGCTGGATTCCAAAAATGGTGTGTACTACTATGATAGAATAAATCCCTCCCCACCCCATTAATTACCTATGATGTATAGATATGAATTTGTTTACTAATAAGTACTATAAATTAATAAAGAAATCTAAGAAATTACTATTATAATTTAAGCATGATTGTTGCTAAATGAAAAGGTCGAAGAAAAAAGGGTTATCCAACCAAGTGAATTGCGAGTCAATAAGGATTGTCCAGACTCATTTTTGAAATTCATAATTATTCTAGCCGCCCTGTTTTGCAGTTTTTGAAGACGATCACTAAGCGTTTTACCTATTACGTCCCAAACTTCGCAACAGTAATCGAGGTGCGGTTGGATTAGAGCATTATATATCAAAACCAAAGTGTTCCGGTCAACAAATTCCTTAGTTTTTTTTAAAGTGCCAATTCCTGATGATATTTTACTAGCAATGGATTCAATATGCTTTCCCCCGTTTAAATGCTCGTCAATTTGGACTCCACCACTTTGGTATGTTTGACTCTTTTGACTGATTGTTTATCAATATTGATTGATGGTTGAACATCCAAACTATTTATCCTATATCGTGATCACATCAGAACGTACTCAGTTTTGGCAATATTTAAATTAAGGTTATTTGCAGGTCTTCGTTTGCACTCTTCTCTACTTCTGCAAACATTCTGGGTGTTGTATGTTTAAGGCAATTTGGCAAATCGTTTATATATAGTAAAGAGAAGAGGGCCAAGTATACTTCCCTGAGGAATGCGCAAGTTATTTTTCTTTGTTTTGAAAGCATTCCTTGGAGATTCGGCAGGTACAAAACGCAGGTTGCAGGTTGGAATTTCGCAGGTTGGGAATTTTGCAGGTTGGAATTTTGCAGGTTGGGGATTTTGCAGGTTGCCAGGAATTTTGCAGGTTGATGATGCAAACTTAAAATTACACCACTATAAAGTATTCTAGTATAATTTAATTGTGTACTTATTGCAGTCTGACTCCTTGTCAGCGCTTTTGATATCAGCCTATCCTGCTACAATGTTCCTAGCTTTTGCTCTAAGGTAGGCTGATATCAAAAGCACCGACAAGGAGTCAGACTGCAATAAATGCACAACTAAGTTATACTAGAATACTAAAAAAGTGGTGTAATTTTAAGTTTGCACTATCAACCTGCAAAGTTCCTGGCAACCTGCAAAATTCCAACCTGCAAAATCCCCAACCTGCAAAATTCCAACCTGCAAAATTCCCAACCTGCAACCTGCAATCTGCGTTTTGTACCTGCCGCTTGGAGATTGCATTTTTGAGTTCGGTTTGTCAAATAATTACGCAGTAGCGCAACCGCCGATTCTCCCAGACCATACATTTCAAGTT